CTAGTGACGCGAAGTAGCCTCAACAGTAGTAATCGATTGGGTTATCGCAGAAGGAGAACACGACGCAGCCTCCGACCCCAGCGCGTGTTGGATCAGCTTCCACGCCACGCCAAGCTCGAAGGACTCCGGGGATTTGCTGACGACGCCGTACGCCTGAAGGCCCGCCAAGGCGATGGCATAGCCGGCCACCTGCAGGAGCGGGCGGAGAAGGAGAAGGGGCGGAGGACGAGGACAAGGAGAAGGGGCGGCCACCTGCAGGAGCGGGAGGACGAGGAGAAGGGGCGGAGGACGAGGCGAACGAGGAGGGCTGCCTCGGCTGTACGTACCACCAGGCCGCGAGGCGGGCGCCCTCGCTGGCACCCGTACGGTGGGCAGGGGTCGGTGAGCGGGTGGCACCAATCGCATGGCCTCAAGCGGGGAGTGGCGTGCAGCTGCGGCGTGCGGGTGCCCAGTGCGGTGTGACGGCCAGCACTCCTCCTCCGAGGGACCCCATCGGCTGGCTATCACCCCCGCCATACCGCAATGCCGCCTGGCGATCCTAACGAAGCTGGGTTCCTACGCAGGAGGTGGTGGTGGTGGTGGTGCTGCTGCTGCTGCTGCTGCTGCTGATGATGATGATGATGATGATGCCGATGATGATGAGGATGAAGGTGGTCCGGACACCTCCAGGTGGCCGAGGCGATGATGATGATGATGATGATGATGATGATGATGATGATGATGATGATGATGATGATGATGATGATGATGATGATGTCGGTGGTGATGACGATGAGGCTTGTGTGATGATGATGATGCTGATGCTGATACTGATTATGATAAGGAGAAAGAGAGGAGGATGAGGAGGAGGAGGAGGAGAAGGAGGAGGAGAAGGAGGCTTGGGTTTGGGTTGCGCACAGACAACCCTTGGCACCACCCCAGGGTAGTCCGAGCGGCCTCAACACTCAACGCCGTCTCCTGTGGCGCTCCGGGGTTGTGGTGTTGGTAAATCGCCAGTCCAGCCTGAGGTCCTGTTGAGGGCAGCTGGCGTTGCCTCTTGGAGCCGTCTGTGCGCAACTCTGACCCTTTCCACGCCACCTGCAGCCTCGATATTCCTTGCGCCTGGAAAAAAAAACCGCCCAGGATGATCAATATGTCCTTGATGACACCAGCGAGTGCGAACGTAAGGCCAGATGCACGCTGGATAGCAAGGTATATGACGATGTTCAGGAGAAAGGCCACCAGGCCGTTGGCGACGAACACTCCCTCGCCTATGGCAGCGATCTTCTCCGCGTCGAAGGCTGACCGGTCGAAGAGCAGAGCACATACAAATAGTATCAGACCCACCATGGGCGCGAACACCTGCATCGAGCTCAGCGGGTTCAGCTTGTAGCCCTGGGACTTCAGCCTCAGCTCGAGGAGATTGAGCCTCAGACCTTCTGACAGCAGCGCTAACAGCTGCAGCGTGAAGCCCCAGAGGTTGAACCTGAGTTCGCCGAAGCTCGTGATCATGAGGCCGACGGTGATGGTACCGATGCATGAAGAATAAGAACCATGCGTAAGCATAAACTTTTGGAGGTCCGCGCGGATTTCTTGGATTGGCGCTGGGCCTCCTGGCAGCGCCTGCGGCACCGGCCCTGGAGCGCTCCGCGCGCCTGTGAGAGGAGCCGGCGCCGATCTAGGAAATCCGCGCGGACCTCTGAACGTTGATGTTCATACATGTCTTCCTTCTTCGAGATGCACTTCAGGATCGGCACGGACCATTTCTGCGTGCCCATCAGGCAGCCAGTGGTGTACACGCACGCGGGAGTCCAGGCCTCTGTGGGATCGAAGGGGGGTCGATGCTGCTGCTGCTCCCCGGACCTCTCCCAGGGTGCGCTGATCAGAATCTCGAGGAGAACCCAGCTGTGGCAGCGAGAGGGCTCTCCAGGACGCGCCGCGGCGTCGGTACAGTCCTTCCTCTCCTCCCCAAAAGCCTTGACCATCTGGCAGAACGCCACGCTGAGGTACAGCAGGGCCGCGTTGCCGCCCACGAGGCCGACGCTCTGGCACAGCGCCACGGGGAGCCCCAGCATGATGCCCGTCCTGAGCGTCAGGGGCACCTCCTCCTCCCCTCCTCCTCCTCCTCCTCCTCCTCCTCCTCCTCCTCCTCCTCCTCCTCCTCCTCCCCCTCCTCCTCCTCCTCCTCCCCCTCCTCCTCCTCCCCCTCCTCCTCCTCCTCCTCCTCCTCCTCCCCCCCTCCAGCCCCACAGTGACGCCCGTCCTGAGCGTGAGGGGCGGGACGCCGGCCTCGGCGTCCCCGGTCGCGACGAGCGAGGGCGCAGCCAGGCGCACGCACAGGATCATCACGACGCCGACCACCTCCGGGCGGGCGCGGCAGGGGCCTCGCGCCGGAAGCGGCCGCGCGGGCCCTGCGCTGCACGGGCCCCGAGGTGGGCGGCGTCCCCCTGGGGCCGCAGGCGGCCCGAGGAGGGGAGGGCGAGGAGGGGGAGGAGGGGGAGGAGGGGGAGGGGGGGAGGAGGGGGAGGAGGTGGAGGAGGAGGAGGAGGAGGAGGAGGAGGAGGAGGAGGAGGAGGAGGAGGACGGGTCGCCTCAGCCCTTCGGAGAAACCCTCCAGCCTCACGCTGGAAGCGGCCACGCGGGCACTGCGCTGCATGGGCCCCGAGAACGTCGGCCAATAGTGGGGGGGGGGGCGAGGGCGAATCAGCCCAACATCGGTCCCCAGACCCCTCCCTGGGGCCTCGTGCTGGGAAGCGCCCACGGGGGCCCTGCGCTGGATGGGAGGCCTCCTAGATGGGGTCGGAGTAGATGGGGTCCGAGGATCGCGCCGCATCGACGATACATCGGCGATGCATCGGGGCTGCACCGGCGATGCATCGGGGATGCACCGGCGATGCATCGGGGATGCATAGGCGACGCCAGCGCGGAGGAAATCGTGCTCCACATCGAGCCGCATAGGCGATGCATCGGCGATGCGGCGCGATCCTCCTACCCCATCTACTCCGACCCCATCCAGGAGGCCTAGATGGATTGGCCCCGAGAAAGGCGGCCAAGAGAGGGCGAATCAGCTCAACATCGATCCCCAGACCCCTCCCTGGGGTCGAAGCTGGCACTTTGTTCGAGCCCTGTCCAGCCTCGGCGACCAAAGGGGTCCCCTTTCCCCTTCCTCCTGCTGGCCAGAGCCGGTGCGGGGCCACTTCAGCCCAGCCGGCTCAACTCTTTTTGGGCAAGCTGCTTTTTAGTTGCTCACTTCTGCGGCGGCCAGCCGTGCCAGCAGGGTGTCCTTCAATTTGCGTGGTCGATCTGTTCGGGCCAACTGCGCTCAGCTCCGCACAAGCTGGCGGCGCCAACGCAACACCCTCGCCTCCCCCCCTAAGCGACCGTCTGCGCAACCTGCCCCGCTCTACAGTCGGACCTAGGCCAACACGAACAGAACGTTCGAGGGTACCCTCCCCAGGATTCACAAGAACATCCAACACACAAGATGAACACTGGGGTACCCTCCCCGAACCGACCTCGATGACCCTGAGATCCGACGTCACGAAAAAAGATTTGGAGTCCCGAAATGATGCGGTGACAGATCGTGCGGTGACCTCGAAACCCCCCAAGACCTCACCGCACGGTCCGTCAACGCACGCTTTTGGGACCTCGGAGGCCTCTGTCGCCCGAGACATCCTCGGAGAGGGACTGGAGTCCCAAAACCACTCGGCGACCCCGAAGCCCCACCGACTCACAACACGGTGTGGTCACCACCCCGTAGGGGGGGCCCCCGAAAAGAGGCAACGCCGTACACAACCCCGGCCGGAGCCCTGCACCACCCCACTTCTTCAGGACCCCGTAGACCGGGACACGCTAGACCCGGACACCCAATATCCCTCGAAACCAATTTTTCCAAACGGCGGCACGAAAAAAATACTGCACTGCAGCATTTCCAGAATAAATCCGGACACAGGCCCCGAAAGCCTACAAGACCCCCCTTAATCCGGACACACACCCGAATCCTGCAGTGCAGCAAACAAAGAATGCACGGGTGCTGAAAAACGTGACTTTGCAGGAAAGGATGTCGTTTCCTTGGTTTATCTGTGTCCTGGTCTCCAGGGGCCTGACTTCTGCGGCACCTCTCGAGCCGGGCCGCTCCCCAGCCCAGCACGAGGCAAGACACCGACGGCTGCTAGTAGAAAAAAACCTCGAGGCCAAGAGTCCGATTTTTCCAGGGCGCGGCCCCTTCCCGCAGGCTGGCTTTTCACGCCAAGTCGTTCTTGGTGATAGTCCTGGGGCCCGGCGAGGGCCCCCAGAGGCCGACTGCGAGTATGCATAGCAGGTGAGAAGCAGGGGGGGACCCACCATAGCAGGACCCACTTCGGGGTGAAGGACCCACCGTATGCATCTGCGAGTATCGCGAAGCAGGTGAGAAGCAGGGGAGGACCCAGCAGAAGGACTGGGGCGCGGAGGAGGGGGAGGGCGGAGGAGGGAGGAGGAGGAGGAGGAGGGCCCCGAATCCAGCTTTGGTTTTCCATGCGTTGGAGGCCTGGGTGCTTTACGCCGCCTCGCCTGGTGCCAGCAGGTCAGCGCGACGGGGTGCTTGAAGCTCTGCAGCACGCGGGCGTTAAATCCGCCTGGCGCCCCCTTATTGGCGGGAGAGCGCCACTCTGGAGCCGGGTGAAGATCGGTGGCAACTCATGGGAGCCGCCCGTACCATCTTGTCGGATCTTGCGAATCGACGCTGATCGACGCTAGTCGACGCCAATCGACGCTAAATCGACGCTAATCGACGCCAGCCGACGCTAAATCGGCGCCATCTCATCGACTCCCAGAGGCTGATCGACTAGCGACGCTATTCGACGCTAAAGACGGACTTGAAGGTACACAGAATTCCCATGAGTTGCTACCGAACAAGTGAAGCATTTTCCCAAATGGGACCTTGAGGCAGAACGGAACGCTGGCGCGATCCAACAAACAGCTGCAATCATTCCAACTTGTGCGGAGCCTCGCCGGCATACTCTTCTGCGTCGGGGCCCTCGCGCAGGGCGGCATGTCCAGCGCGGCAGAAGCGGCGAGGCCAAGACGAGGGGGATCGGCAGGGGGGGAATCGGCTCGAAGTTTCCAGCTTCGAGCTTCCCGTCGTTTGCGTTGGTTTTCGGCGGCTTTTTCCAGCCTCGGGACTCCTTTCTGCAGCTGCGCCTCGCGAAGGGTGCTCCAGGGGGGGCCCGGAGCGTCCCGAAGGACCGCAGGAGACACGAGTACCAGCCCAGGCCCTGAGAGCCTGGCGTCTCAACTTCTTCACCACGGGCGATCTTGGCCCGTCTTGACGAACGAACGACACACACACATCCATACCCACAGGCGGCTCGGAGGGGAAGAGCACTGGTTGTGGGTATGGGCACGGGCTGCGGGACCCTGTCGGAGGCTCCCCTTCGAGCGGGACCCCCATGCGACAACACGCACCCACGGCCCCCTCCGTCTCACCCATGGGCATGGGTGCGTGTTGTTCGCTCGTGACGTCTCGGGCGCCGGGGCCCTCGCAGCTCGATCTGGGCGAGAAAGTGCCGCAGACGGACACGCGCTTCGCCCGCGACCACCGGCGGAGGGCAACGCCCCCCTTGCCCCCCCCCGCGGTGGGCTGTCCACCAGCTGGCCCGGCGCGCCATCTCCCGTGCGGCAGCACGGAAAAATCCACACGACGCCCAACCGCACACGTTGTGCAAAACCGACATCGGCCACTGCTGGGCAGGCGGGCGTCTGATTTACATTGACAGCGTCTGCGGCGAGACCGACAACGCTTCCTGTTCAGAATCGATCGGATTTGCTGGTAGTCTTCGTGCTAAATCTTTAGAGGCCTCCCAGGTGCTGTCGGAGTAGATGGGGTCGGAGGATCGCGCCGCATCGCCGATGCAACGGCGACGCATCGGCGATGCATCGGCGATGCACTGGCGATGCATCGGCGACGTCAACGTGAAGGACATCGGGCTCCACATCGAGCCGCATCGGCGATGCATCGCCCATGCGGCGCGATCCTCCGACCCCATCTATGCAAGGTTTCCCCTGGGGCCGTAGGCGACCCGAGGAGGAGTAGGAGGAGGAGGAGGAGGAGGAGGAGGAGGAGGAGGAGGAGGAGGAGATGGAGGAGGACGGGTCGCCTAAGCCCTTCGGAGAAACCCTCCACCCGCTTCGATCTTCCCGAGGCAAGCTCGCGCCGGGACGGCCCTGGGCGCCCGGTCGTCACGGCGCTGCTCGGACCGCTGCGGCCTGAACAAAAAGTAGGCCGCGGCTGCCCGACGCGGCGCAGATCGTCCGAGGTGGCTCGGCCGACTCGGGGCCTCTGGCGGCACTCGGCCCTGCATAAGACGAAGCCCTCGCCATCGCCTGGACGCCCATTTTGTGTTTTTTTCGATTTCGCGCGTGCTCGTGTTGTTTGCCAGATGATCAGGGAGGCTCCTCGATGGCCCTCGCCGCAAGAAAGACATGCACACGTCCGAGCGATGCCAAGAACCAGGACCAGGACAAACTGGACTGAGATACTTGCAGCTCGGGCGTGATTTTTCTGGGGGGCAATAAATGTGTGTGTATGTGTGTGTGTGTGTGTGTGTGTGGGGGGGAGAAACATGCACCTTTCGTGCCCTCTATGGGTCCCAGGGGGTCCCTTCAGGGCACAAACAGGTTCGAGTAGGGGATCGACTACATAATTGATTTACCCCAGAATGGATGTTCTCGTCGAATACGTGCTAGAATCTAGAAAACAATAGAATAGTCAGAAGATCTCCGGAGCATTCGACCTATGTTTCGTAGATTCGACGGAAATCAATTCTGGGGTAAATCG